TTAAATTTATTTTATAAAAAAAATATGTTATTTTAAAAGACACATATATTTCTTTCATTTCTCATATTTTTCTACTAAGTCTGGTCTTTTAGTTTATTTTTTCTCTGATATTTTTTTATTTACAAAAATATATTTGTTTTTGCACACTCACCTTAAACACTTCGGAGAAGAATCCAGAGCCAATTTTCTCCTTGACAAAATCATCCACAGAGTAGAGCGCTGACACTGCAGTTCTTAGAGCTTTGCACGATGGCCCTGTCACCAAACGATCGGACGAGATGGTACGTGCAACCGGCGGCGCCGTCGCATGATTATGCACACTAACGTTGCCAACATTAGCACTGCCACCATTACAATTACTACCACTATTGTTGCTATTGTTATTGCAGCTGCTGTTGGTGGTGTGCTGACCATTGGTCATAGCAGCGGGCGTGTTGGCAACGTAACCACCACCACCACCACCACCATTTGTTGCAACCGCGTAAGCACTCTTCATGCCGCCATATGAAGTTGCCGTTGTTGCTGTTGGTGATGACATTGTAGCACATTTTGTTGCATATGTCTTTGATGCCATGATGGAGGCGTCAACTTGATCGATACCAACCATGCCGCAAGCACCCGGACCCGCACCAGCACCCACGCCACCGACGCCCATATACGAGGAATTATGCTGTGCCACGGTTGCTGTTGTATTCATTGCAGTTGTTGTTGTTGTTTTTGTTGTCACTAACGCTGACGGTGGACCGGGCCCACTGTGTTGATTCGGATTCATCACTATCAGCTGTGATGAATATTTGACAGCGCGTAGGAACTAAAACTCATCACCGTCGGCAAACACTGTGCAGCTGCGTACGCGATCGATGACTAAACGACGAATCGACGAGGCGACGAACTCAGGTGCAGCGCACAAATACGCGCTTTCAATGCTGTTTGTGAGAGTGCTGGCCGTTGGAAGCTGCCGCCAGCGGTAACGGTATTTCGTACGCACGCACGCACGCACGCACGCACTGATCGTGTATGCACAAGTCGACACGTCGCGTAGCGTTTAGGCGACGTAACGCGCGTTAACGTCAATTATTAATCGCTGCCTAGACACGCACTAATTTATAAACAGGAAAAAATTTTGATTTACTTCAACGSAAATTTGAAACAAAAATGAACGAAATTGATTTATAGGCACACACAAACGCAGTTCAGCAGGCAAATCGATTGATTTTCAAAAAAGCATCGATTTTCGAATGGAAATACAGAGTAATCATTTATTATGAGGTMTCGCCGTTTTTATGGAGCACACCTTTTACAATTGTAGCTGTTATTTTGTGGTCGYTTTTATTAGACAAATAAATATTTTTGTGATGACAACATTTTTTGTGTAATTATTTTCTCTTACTCTCACAGTCGCGCGGTATTGACTGAAAACGTTTATCATTTGCACATTTGACGTTTTGCGAATTTTTTTGATTAAGCTTATTTAATTTAATTTTTTTTTTTAGTTTTTGGTTATTTATTACTTTTCCTCTGTGTTTTTGATTCAACTCGCATGCAGATTACGAAAAGTGCATGGAAAACCAGTTTATTGTTTGGAAATGTTATTGGAAGCACACAATTAAGTTGGCGTTGAAAGAGAAATCTGCAATGAAAATTAAAAAATAATAGTTAATACAAAAGTAATGATATTAAATAAAACAGAAGTTACAGGAAAAAAATTTACCCGACTTTATGGAATAAGAACGTTAAAAAGTATGAGAAATTTGGTAAATCAATCCATAGTATATGATATATAATGCTASAATAAGGATTATTTTTGAAGCGATTTTGACAGAAAAAAAGAAAATTGATAACGTCACTATTAGTYTGACAATTTTACTTGCTTATGGTTGCATTTATGACGTGACGCTTCACAGTTGAAGACGTTAAAATATTATTCCTACCACATTTTGTATGAAATTTTTGAACTGCGGTCGTCAAGATTTCATTACTTTTATTCTTCAGCAATGAAGACACGTTGTTTTGTCGTGTAAAGTTTTTCACTAAAACTAAGGTGCCAGACAAAAYCAAAAATGGCTCTATAGTTCAAAGATATTAAGAATGCTTAACCTACAGAGGCACTCTACAATAACTTCAAGAAAAAAATTCTAAAAAACATAATATAAAAACTGATACCAGAGGAGAAAAAATGTCTAGTAAAGTTATTACATTCACTTTAATGTAAAAAAATAACGTGGTTTTTGCGAAATGTTTTTCTTTTTTAAGAAACATTTTATTTTAGAAAAATAATAACAAAAGGGGCCATTTACTGAATTTAGTGTACTTTAATAACAATTAATTCATTTTGAAAAATGTAGGATTCCCTTCACTCCATAGCCAATATCCAGAAAGACCGTCTCAAGAAAAATCGTAGTACTGACTAATATATCTGAGAAGATCTAGTGAAAATTTCAAAATGTTCAGTACAGTCGTTTCGGATAAATTCTTTCCAAATCACCGAATCTAAATAAAAAATGTCAAGAAAAACGCGCTTGAAGTTTTTGGAGTAGATTACACTAAGTTAACATTTTTTCTCGTTTTTTTCTTTAGAATT